AGGCGTGTGTTTACCGCCATACTGCCAGGTGTGTCTTTACCACCATATTTATCAACCATGATTTTTTGCTCTGTTTGTTTGTTTGTTTTCTTTTTTTAACCAAACGGACAGAACTGTCCAGTGACAAGGGAGCGAATGATGAGCTTTTCACTTGATGTCTCTACTTATTGTACTAGTTGATCATAGTTCACCGTGTTGTATGTACGTTCATGTGCCAAGACAGAGGGTCATCCATATTGTCAGGGCCTCGACTTCTTCTATTCCGATTTTCCGGGAACACTCCGAACATTTGCTACGACAAGCCGACCAAAAACAATTGTTCACGGAAGTGAACTAATCTGTTGTGTCGGGCCCTTGAAATCCTGAAAATACTACTTATATGGTTTCTAAAGGGGTTGCTGCCCCTTCGACTCCCTGCCATTGAGCATCTCAGACACTGCTTCTGATTTTTGCAAACTGACAGGTGGCAGCACTCTGCTACTATCTTGTTTGTGAAGCTACCACCACCCGTTGTACTTGATTCCTCTATTACCTGATTCTATTTCTCCATACCAAGAAACAAGAGTATATAAGCTACTGGTGTGGTAAAACACTTCACTTTATACTTGTACAATCATGCACACACTGTCGCGGACAGCTGGCCAGCAGCTTCCGTGACAACTTCAAGATGGGAGAGAGACCTGGTTCGTTGTCACTTCTTTCACCACATAAAGAACATTGCTTGGAGAGAGAAAACTACCGAAAGAAGGACACGAAGCACTACAACAGAGCGCTCCGAAAAAGGATTCGCTCGCACGGCAGCGTACGCATGCCGTGCCAGCGTACTGTGTGCAAAAATGTGAAACCAAAATAGATTATCATGATTTGGCTGCGTGCAAAACCCAGCCAGTTTGTGAAGTGCATCGTATACGCGTAGCGATCCCGCGATCGCGTATGGCTGCGGCTGCACTGGCCTGGAGCGCTGCCAGTGCGTGCATGCAAAAAAGGAAAATAAATAAATCAGAAAAATGCATTATAGGGTACCTCACTTCAAACTCTCCAACTACGGTCTCTTCGCTGCATACGTTCACTTCCAAAAAAAACAAATAATATTAGATATAAATGGAATGCACCAAATTTTCGGGCATGGCCCATCTTCAGGGTGAAAAAAACCATTCAACGTTGAATGGTTTTTTTTCACCCTGAAGATGGGCCATGCCCGAAAATTTGGTGCATTCCATTTATATCTAATATTATTTGTTTTTTTTGGAAGTGAACGTATGCAGTGAAGAGACCCTAGTTGGAGAGTTTGAAGTGAGGTACCCTATAATGTGTGAATGGCTGCAATGGAGTCTGCGAGTGCTTAGAAAAATGCAGTTCAAATAAATCGACAGTTCGATCGAAGAGATATATTTCCACACATGCAATTCGTTTCAGAACAAGATTATAGAGCGAAGCTAGCTAGTCATGTGTCAAGCTACCTTACTACAAATACTTACTATACCTAGAACTTCGCTATGGGCAGCAGACCTGGACCCTATCGCTCCTGGGATATACCTTAGGTAAGAGTGCGACGTAAAGACAAATTGTAAATACTGTTAATTCAAATTGCACTCGTAACATGTATTCAAATATTAACAGTCCGGCATTCGCACATATTGCGACAACTGGGAGTTGATTTACTCCTGCCAGAAGTTGTAATGGTAGTTTTGCCTTCTTGTCCATTCAATATATGAAGTATCGTAAGTTGTTACCAGTGCTTCAAAGTATATAATTGAAAACGTTTTCCTTTGTATGATCTAGCAAGAGTAGTACAGTCAACTTCGCTAATAACGACTGAGGATATAACGACAATTCGCGAATAATGACCGAATTTCCATGCCCAGAGCAAAGTCCCATCTAACTGTATACATTTAGCTTCGGATATAACGACTATCTGAATAACGACAATTCGCGTATAGCGACATGCTTTTAGGGACCATCGCAAAAGTTCGCAGAAGCCCCTGAAACGAAGAGCATACGTTTGGGGGGGAGGGAGTCGTGTCGAAAATCGCAAACCGGGCTTCAATTCAAAAAAGTATTGACGACATGTAGGAGCTGATATAGATTAGGCCACACCAAGTTTTTTCATTGTTTCTCGTCACCGCGCGCGTACCTTTCTTGAGGATTGGACCAAAAAAAATCTCGCGTCCCGGTAATTAACACGCATAAAAAGGCGTTGTAAAAGTACGCGCGGCGTCAAATCTGGAGTGCAGTGCTAGTCCACGAACCGAAGGACGACTTTTGCACCGTGTATGTACGCATACCGGTAGTTCAAGTACCACACCACCACACGACCTGGTCGTCTTCTTTGCTACACACAGTTCCGGTACAAGTCAAGACAGTGCATGACATGACAGTGCACCGTTTTGGACTGACAGTGTTCCGGGCATCGGTAAACTTGTAAACTGTCACGCGTGGTGTATAGTCTGATTTTAGGTCATAAATTGGGCCTTTGTAGTGTAAATAGCAGTTTTTGTTTTTCAAACCCTATTTTGTTTTTTTTCCGCCCGCCCGCGTTCCTTTTGAGATTTTCAGGTGACGAGAAACAATGAAATAACTTGGTGTGGCCTTAGCATGCCATCACAGCCGGCGTAGATCGCTTGTCAGGACGCGTAGTCATGCGCGTGTCGCGTAGCTGGCTGCCTGTACACTGTGTGTAGTCTAGTACCAAGAGTCCATAAAACGCGTGGTTTATGGACTCTTGCTAGTAGTACTAGCACTAGTAGCAGGGGTTCATAGGCCGATGATATGATAGGGTTTATGAACCCCTGCTGTGTAGTATAATTATTATAATAATTATTATGTGTGCAGCATCCAAGTGAAATAATGAAGCCCATATTGTGAATGTCGTTTCGTTTGAGGGGGGAGGGAGGGGGGTCAGGCCCGAAACTCACGGTCTTCGTTTCGGGGGCTTCTGCGAACTTTTGCGATGGTCCCTTAGTGCCCCGAGGTCATATTCACTGCTTGAATAACGACTTTCTGGGCTTTTGACAGCTATTTCAAGTACCTGTCAGTCAAGTACATGTACCTGTCATGCAGAAGTACCAGAACCTATGGTGATGGATATTATTAATAATTATTAAGGCACACATGCAAGAAAATGCAGCCAAAGGGGGGGGGGGGCTTTTTCTTCCTATTTTATGTTGGCTTCAAAAATGTTGGATTTACCAGCACACCTATATGTATACAATGTACATGTAGTTGTACATGATTGTACAGTAATCAGCATACATGTACATGTCCCTGGCCCTGTAGATGGCTCAAAAAGGCATATTTTTCAATTGATTTCCCTTGCATATTGAATTGTTAATTCCTTTCAGCTGCAATATGAAAATAAAGTACACATTGACATAGAGCAAGAAAAGAGCTTGATTTTGACATGCATGTCATACTATACAACATATGGGTTTACATACATTCAAATGGGACTTCGGTTATAGGGACACTTCGCGAATAAGGACACTTTTCTGATGCCCCGCCGAATGTCGTTATTGGCGAAGTTGACTGTATACTCTTGATCCAGCTTACAGAGGAAGTACATTTTGTCCTCCAAAGGGAGGGGCATGTTTGGGATCGGGTACTTCAAGGCCTCGTGGTTACTCCATCCTACAGAGAAAGTCCTACATTTTCCCTCGACTTGGTAAATCATGGTAAATATCGCACTAAAAATCAAGATATCAACCATCCATGCATCACATGCACAGGAATAAGGCTTTATTCCCGTAGCTATGCAGAAGACGTTACTTCAGTAACGTCTGGCGCTAGCCAGGGTCCACACAGCTTTAATTTGGTGTTTGTTTGTGTGTTTGTGTCACGCCTGGCGCTATCCCGTATCTGTCCCGTACCGTACCGTACCGTCAAACACAGTTGGCCACATACAGCTGGCCGCAATATTCAAATAGGGCTTTCAAACGCAAGATCATAACGTGAAGCAACTTAGAAGAATGAGTATGAATGCGAAGTGTATGGGGGAATGCATGTAGGGCAATATTGCGGGTTCGAATCCCAGGTATTGCCTAAAAAAATAGGAGAATTCAAAAAATTTATAACATCCTTTTTCTTTTTTTGCCGTCATCAAGGCGGTAGACGGTGTCGTATTACCCTTGACCATACCTGTCCCGTGCCTATCCCGTACCGTACCGTACAATCAAAGACGGCGTCACATGGCTGGCCACAATGCATATTCAAATAGGGCTTTCAAATACAAGATCATAACGTGAAGCAACTTGGAAGAATTAGTATGTATGCGAAGTGTATCGAGGGATGCATGCAGGGCGATAGTGCGGGTTCGAATCCCAGGTTTATGTCCAAAAACAAAAAGTAGAAACTTATACGAATTTATAACATCCCTATGCTTTTTTTGTCTAGGTTATCAAGGCAAAAAAGCATAGCGTAGGGCCCTGAGCTTCCAAGCTCTCTCGTTCGGTTCTTTGGAAGAAAAAGGTTGTAGCTCCCCCCCCCCCCCCCCAATCCCCTCATTCTGGATCCTGCGTATGCCCCTGGCAGGCAATCTGAGAATTCTCAGATTGTGCAGCGCAATCTGCTGATCTCGCTAATTCTCAGATTGCGAGGACCATATGCGTATGTGTGCGTGTTTATGGGAGCGGGTTTGTCGATGGGAGCCCACATGTGTGCCCCTAGGTGGTGTTAGGATTGAGTTGGGGTTGGCATGCCAGTCCAAAGAAACCTATCGTACTCTCGTGGGCATGGAAATCTGGTCGCACGTCTAGCGGCTCCAGGGCACTGGCCATACTGCCGTGAGTAAGCATACCGTTGATCTGCACACATTCATTTGTGCGCTGCAGCGCGCTGGTCGCATCGGATTAACATGCCCACAGTATGATCGTACCGTTCAGCATGCGCTGAGTCTGAGGATGCCGGCCCCGGTAATTCGACTGGAGTTCCGTGGCCACGACAGTACTTTGACACGGATATCTACCTGAGCCCGAGGCAAGAACAACTAGTGCAGATAGACTTACGTGCACAGATTTTTACCATGGACACCACCGTGCTACCCTTAGTCACATGACCACCGGTCAAGTTGCGCTGGTGAGCATGGCACTCTGGGAAGCTCAGATTTGCTTTGATGTTGTCGATGGTGTAGGGGTACGTGGTGATAGTGTAGTTGAGGAAGACTTCGAATGCTACAGCTTCATCCGAATTGCCAGTGCAAGGTAATGACATCCTGAAAGCTGCATGAAGTTGAGAAAAAAAGCATTGAAAGTCAAAGATTTTAACTACGGTTGTATGCATTATCATAGGTTTTCTCTGGCTGTCATTTTGGCAATCCCTTGGAAAACCTGATTTAGCAGGGGTGCCCCAGGGATCCGTTCTAGGCCCCTGCTTTTCTTGGTCTACACCATTGACCTGCCCTCTGCCTGCACCAATTCCAACACAAAGTGCAGCCAATATGCAGATGACGCTGCGCTCATCGCAACACACCAGGGCCGTTTGACTTCAGAGTTGTCCCTGCAGTCGGCCGTTTTAGCTGCCGCAGCCTGGCTGCGGAGATGGCCCCTCCTCGTCAATGCTACAAAGACCGTTACCTTGTCGTTCACACCAAACCACCAACTCAACATCACTCTTAACGACACACCCTAAAGCAAGTCAACGAACACTGTCACCAATGAAACTCACATGTCACGCACAAAATAAACAAATCCAAAAAACTCCTTCACCAACTTCGTAAAACACGAGGCCAACTTAACACCCCCAGTCTGCTTGTAATCTACACCGCCTACATTCGCCCGGTTATAGAGTATGGCAGTCTCGTATTATCCAACACCATCCGCACACAGAAGGACCAATTAGAACGCGTTCAGCCACGAGCAGCCCGTATCTGCTTGCGGATCCCCTTTTTGCACCAGTCCATCACAGCTCACTTCTTCACCGTCTCCAACTTCCCACATTAGTCTCCCGGCAACTCTTACGACAGGTTACTCTTGCCGACAAAATCAAGTACATCCGCGCTCCCGTTCACCTACAACGGCATAACCTTGCACAACCAATTACAGAGCAGCCATATGCCGTACGACACATGAGGACTTACACATTGAGAACATCACACACATACTTCCTTGTTGGCCATGGCCCATCGTGGAAATAAAGAATAATAAAGGTCTCTCGGGTTCGAGGGCATATGTGAGGAGCATGTGAATACGAGGAGGGTGGCATTCCAGCAATATGTCAAGTCCCACAGAAATTGTGAGGCTCCCAAATCGGAAGAATGCTGCCAAGTGCAGTACTAGGGTGAGGGGAAGAACTGCGTCGTAGCCTAGGTCGTTCTGATACAGTCAAACCTGCCATTAGGGCCGATTTCCACTACGGTACCGTGAGTGCCATGCCGTGAGTACCCATGGTGATCTGTTCACGTGAGGGGCAGTTTTGGTGCGAGTTCATTCCGTGGCTCGTGCCGAGTCATTCCGGTACCGAAGGCCTCTGGGAGGTGGAAACGACATGCAGCGGTATTCCGTGAGGTGCATGCATGCATGCATTGAGTAGTAGGTACTGTACTACTCGATGGTAGGAAGTCAAACCATCAGCACTCGGTCGAAGGCCGGAGATTGACACCCACCGGGCTAGCATCCAGCAAGCAAAGGTGGGGCCATGTATCATAATACTAGTATACAGTGAAACCTGTCTAAGGTGACCACTCAAGCTAGGGACGAGAAAAAGTGGCCGACTTGGCCAGGTGGTCTTCTTATCCAGGTTCAGTGGATCACGTGACCATGTCCACTTCCTAATACATGATCATTTTGAACAGTGTATCACACTGCACACACCTATGCTACTCTAGCACGACTCATGTGCCTGTGGTCCTCAGACCTGTCTTAGTGTTGTGCATGCACCATGCACATCTACACTTTCTGTGCTGATGTGTAGAACTACCATGCATGGTGCATCGTGCAATGCGTACATTTACATGCACTAGCAGGTTGCAAAGTAGTCGCGGGTGGGTGGTCGTCGGTCGCGTTAAGCGAGTGGTCGCCTTATCCGAGCTGTTTTGAATAGGTCTTTTGCCAAATAAGACACGCAGTGACTTGGCGGGGCATGGCATGCGTACTGAATGCGTGACCCAGGCACGCGATACATGCAGTGCATTCCTCCCAGCGCGAGCTCTTGTTCTGGAACCGCAACGATCAATTACCGCGTTTGGCGTGTACTCACCCAGGCGGCCAGAAAAAACGGGACTCTCCTGGATCGAAAAAAAAACTGACAGCGAAGGATTCTGTTTTCTTCTCGCTTCTTCATTGCTGTCCGATATGTAGAAAGGGTTTTTTTGCATTTAGGTCTTGCTGGACCTTTGTGATATGTTTGATACATGGCTGATGAAGCGGTCAATGAGCCGAGCACTTCATCTCTTGCGGCGGTACGTTGCGATGAAGGGAATGTTGATAGTAGTCCTGCAAGGGAGAATCAAGTTGAATTAGCGATCCCAAAGCTCGGTTTTTGATGCCTTTGGACAACGAGTCCTTTGAAAAATGGACAATCAACCAGTTGAAGACTTACCTGCGAGCTAGAGGGGCCGGAGTTTCCAGGAAACGGGGTGATTTGCTCGATCGGTAAGTACCACTTCAGGATGCAGTCTTCAACATTTCGCACAAGAAAAAGTACATTTTATCGATACATGTTTTACATTCTAACTTTCTCCATCTGTTCAGGGCCTGGTTCTATCACATCGATCCAATACTGTGCACTCCAGATATATTTGGCGGCAGGCATCGGCAAGGAAAGCGGAAAACCGCTCAGAGCATTGGTGACGTTGAGCTCGTGGAAGCCCATAGCGACGCAATGAGCATATCGTCCCTCTAGCAGCTACATTTCGTCCTAGTTTTCCTGAAACTGGGTCCAGCTCTGCTCTACCAAAGGACCTATTGTATGGTTGCAAAGATACTTTTATATTCGCCCTTGTAGGTCTGTTGTGACCATGGAAATTGATAAACCGCAAGCACTAATATTAATCAAGAGGGGTATTATTATTCATTGCACTTTTGCAAATATTGCAATCTAAATCACAGTATATCATACTATCCACATTTATACCCACTAAGTCATTAGCTGCTCCGTATTGTGCATGATTGTTCAGGCATGACAAAATTCGTGTTGCTGAAGATCAATTCGCCATGCAATGCTAGCAACAGTTGGCATTGAAAACATAATTTGCTTCAGCAAGTAAAGGAGCCCGGAATACTGTGAGCAGGCAGCGAACAATCTATATCTGAATGATGATAGGGAAAAGAATTGTTAGAACGATCTTTGAAAAGATAGAGAACTCCCTGATTCGCTCCATCAGACACTCAACAGGAATTCGTAACGTGGCAATTTGTTGCTTTTTCTGGACATCTTCTAAGGCCATCTGTTGCTTGATCGCTTGAACGGGGAATGTTCAACTTTACGCCATGTGGTATCAAGAGATCCCGGATGTCAAATCCTTGGTCTGCCATAATCAAAGTCCCATAGCCGGCTACTGGCAGAAGATCTAAGTAGTGGCTTCTGATTGTGAGCTCGTGATCACTGGTGGATCCCGTAAATGACTTGGAGGTAAGCGCCGCACCACCATCTGGGGTCATACGGATGAGGCTCGTCAAGATAGTAACGTAAATGCGTCTTATATGAGCTGTAGAGTTGCGACTGCGCAGACAGACTGGAAGCGATATTACATTTCAGCACTGTAGCATCTATGATCATGAATGTTGTAGGATGCAGCTTTTTGAAAACATCCAGCAATCGTTCTGCCACTTGGGAAGGACGCGGCGAGATTGGTATGTGTGCCGTGGCGAAGACTAACGATGGTAATGAAAAAGCTCTCCAAGCCAATTAACTTAATCTTCCGTTCATCACCGGGTTTCCTTTTCCTGGAATCGGCATCCACTGGTCTACTGCGAAAGGAAAGACGCTCTTATAATCCAGGTGAAGAAATTGAATACATGCATCCGGCAAACGCAGCAAGCAAAGGAAAACCAGTGTAGTACTGAATGTCAGACTCTTCAAACCGAGCTAAATCTCCAGGCTGAACTCCACTTGGATATCGTCGATAGCGACTATAGTATTCATCAGTGAAATGGGTAGAACACACCACTATATTGTATAACATGATGGTACCCGTAGCCATTCCGCTCATCTCGACGAATGGCGGCAATCCAAGACTTTCTTGTGTCCAACTCGTCACTGCTCATGCTCTTAGCTTCTCCAGTTTTCGATTCCTTGCTAGCAGGGAAGACATGTTACAAAGTATTTTGTCTGAACTTCGGTCGCTGTTGCACTGCGGAGCGCAGCAGTGATCGCCTTTCCCATGGCTAAAAAATCTGGAGAGATGTTCTAGAAAACAAAACTAAACCCCTTAAAAGAACTAGGAAGAGAAAATCCAGTGACCGTCCTCATTATTTTATTCTAGAATGTCGATCGCGATCACGATTGCTGGAAGAAACATAGTTTTTGAAAGACACAAGCCAAACCAAAAAAAGAAAGTCACTATTTACTCGACGCGTGGGTGAGTACACGCCAAACGCGGTGATTGATCGTTGCTGTTCAGGAACAAGAGCTCGCGCGTGACTCGTAATGCACTGCATGTATGGTGTGCCCGGGTCACGCATTCAGTACGCATGCCATGCCCCGCCAAGTCACTGCGTGTCTTATTTGGCAAAAGACCTAAAGGAATGCGTCTGTGACAAGGAAAAGTGGCCCGCATGGTCGAGTGGTCGCCATATCCGAGTGGTCGCCAGTACAGGTTTTACTGTACAAGTAAGAATCTTAAATATTTTGGTAGGTAAACAAACAGAGAGAAACACACAATTTGTTTACTGGTTTCAAGGAAAGGCGCCAACGGGAAAAGTTTGAATAAAAATTGACTGTCACCAACAGGACTCTAACCAGGGACCCTCACTTGAGGCTAGCGATGCTCTAACCACTAAGCTATGGTGTAGTCGGCATCCCAGCGGAGACCGTTCAACATCTTCTTCAGACTTCGTAACTCACACTTCCTCTAAATCCACACAGGTGAGTGGGACGCACTTCTTTAAAAAAATTATTATAATATTATTACACACACGGCGAGGAGACAATAACTTGATAACCGCAATCAATAAAACTAGCTGAACCGACATTTGGTAACTTTAGTAACGGTCTTGCAGACGGGACTGTTATCATGGCATGGACTTACCCTCCACCAGCCGCTGGATGATGACGCAGTCCG